CTTTGAAACGAGTGGAAGAGAGTCACTGCCCTGTCCTCCCCTGGTGCTCTAGCCCAAGCAGCATCTGTGGAGCCAGGGATCCGGAGGTACACTTCCTCCAAGAACATACCCAGAACATACTTACACTACAAGAATTAGTTTGCTTAAAGATCTATCTACAAAAAATACCTGCAAGCACCCTTCTCTGGGACCCAAACACCTCAGTCCTTAAATGACTGATTCAGCAGACTGGCTCAGTTGCCCCAGGATTTATTTGGATGACAGGCTGGCTCAGCTACCTGGCAATCCATTTCCTAGATCCTAATTAAAAGGAGAATCTAGCAAAAAATAAACTCTACCACACTGCTAGGCCTGACCCAAGGGGGAGCAAAGACCCCACAAGCCATGCTGGATTTTACCAGCAGCAGCACCTGACAATATGAGAGGCTGTAACAGGAGTCCCAGCACCCCCTAACCCCAACAAGAACACACACACAAACATTCAAAAGACTATTTTGGGGGGGGGGGCTCAGCTCCCCCAAGATTTGGAAAAAGAACTGCAAACTTCACCCTACTTTAAGCTGAATCCTACAATACTTGGAAAGTACAGATCACTTACCGGCAATTGATAGCAGAAGCTGACCTGGGATGCTTTCTTCCCCAGTCTGCTTCTCAGAAGAGCCAGTGTGCATCCAACACCAGAGTCTTCACCCTTAGGCCAAAGAAAAACCTCGACACACAAGCATTCAGCATCAGGCAAACGCTCCCAAGTGCTGTATAGCTTAAGCATCTCCTAGGAATTCGCTGTAATCTTCATGTGATGAACAAAACGATGTTGCCTGTGGCACAAACTACACACTGTATTACAACTGGGGAAAAAACAGAACAGGGATTTGATTGTTGGAAAGAATTGTAAAGCTGTTCCACTGAGGTATTTTTCTCTATATATTTGAAGTTTCAAAAAAATTACTAGCAGCAGGGGGAAGAAAAGGTATTCATTTTAAATTCCTTCACCCTTGATGCAGCTCAGAGTTTCTACTTACAGAGAGCTCAAGCATCCCCAGCAGGATCTTTCCTGCAGATTCAAGAGCCCAACATGGTCTGGGAGAAACCGAAAATAAGGAGCCAAAGCCACAGCCCTGGTAGCCAGGCAGTGCCCTGGGATTTGCTGTTTGCTTGGCTGTACCTCTGGATCACAATGGCAACAAGTTTCTCAGCTGATACCTAGGAGAGCAGCAGTAACACCCAGATGTGGGAGTGAAAACTGGGGTTCCTTCTGCATCCCACGCAGTGTCCCATAGCTACATCTAAGGGCTGATGCCCAAACACCACCATTTCTCTGCTGATCAACAATGTCAGTAAGATCCCATTGCTGAAGTCCACAATACACTCTAAAGGGATAAAAGTTTTCCTCTCGTTTCCCTGCAGGCTCAGGAAGTATCAATTTTGTTATATATTACTTCAAAGATCAATTGGGCATAACTTTAAACCCACTAACTGACACAGGAGGCTGACATATCTTTTTCTAGGTTAGCTTAATCTTTCAGCCATTTTTCATGTAAAGACTGTTTTATTGCAGAAACCAGACTGTGCTGTGTGGATCATAGGACCTCAGTAATGCTTCCACGAGATGAATTCCTAACAAAAAACCAGCTGTCCATCAGCAAACAGGACACAACTCTCAGCTCTCCCCAACCCTCAAATCCTTCCTGATGAAAGCCTTTCCTTCTTACAATTTATTAGGCACAAAAAGGCCAAGGCACCAAGAGGTAATCAACAGCTTAAAATAAGACAAGCCGTGGCCAGCTGTGAAAAGTAAGCTTTGAGCAAGGACAACTCTGCCCATTTACTGCTGTCGGCCAGGCAAAGTTTCCAACTATTGACTGGTGTGGAGGAAGCGGTTACCCTTCAGGGATCACACCAGACTGTTAATGTCCCTTCAGATCTGCAAGCTGGCTGTGCCCTGCTGCCGGCATGAGCAGCTGCAACTGCTCTCTGACCTCTTCTGGGCACAAACTGCTGCAATCACTCCAGGAAATTTGAGAAATCTGGGGATTTTCTTCTTGTCATTACACTCCAATGTTGCAGTTGCTTCCTGAGAACAAGGCTGACATTAGGTTGCTGCTCTTTCTCCTCCACATTGTCTAAGGCTTTCAACATCTGATGTGTAACCTGAAGTGAAAATGTGTCCATTAAAGAGCTACAGAAGCTTTCTTACCTGAACCAATGCTCTTTTTTTAAGAAATAAAACAGGAAATAAAAAACAAACAGGAAATAATCATAAGAGAAACGACGCTTATGGTGACTGTTCTTCCATTTTATCTGCTGCTATTAGAAGTGATTAATTTTAACAGAAATAAAGAACACAGCGGATAGCTAGGGATCAGTTCTGCATAAATTAACAACAGACATCAGAGTATCACACCACCAAATATCTGGTTTTACTTATTCCTCAGTATTTTTTTCTACTAGCCTAATCGCTTTTCACTTGCGGCAATTACTGTGCCAGAGCCCCTACTAGACAGCTGTTCTGATTCATACATGGATAAAAAAAATCAGCACTTTCATCATTTTGCTTCAAATCTCTCCCAGTTCTCCAAACTTCATTCCAAAACATATTCCAAAGGGTCACTTCAATTTTTACTGAAACATTTTTCAGACTATTAGTTTATTTTTTAGAAAGCAATAAAATATTATCTCCTCAATGCTTAAGAGGATCAAGCATCAAAACCACCAGCATCTCAGTTGAATTGGAAAGTAATCCATTTTCAGTAAACAAGTATTTATCAAGACTTGGACATGATTTATGCAAACTAAGAACAGCAAGACATTTAAATCTTTGTGAGAACTGAGAATTGCAATAGGTGGGACCAGATGCGTAGCTTCTCTCCAGACTACATATTAAAAAATAGTTTGCATTATAGTAAGTACATCAACCAAAACTAAGTAGGCATTTAGACATCAGTGGCACCAGGGTAAGATTAATAGCCACAGCAAGTCTTATTCTCTTGTGGAATCGCTTCTAATTCCTGTCTAATCTATCTCTAATGCGTCCATGTCAACAGGATCTGTTACCCTATAAGAGCAATGCTTGGCTAAAAGGGACATTCTTCCTGCCTCCCGTTACAAATTATTTCTTGGCCATCACAAATCCATTCCAAGCAGTCCTTCTACATTATGTTGAAAACAGATTTCCAGTTCATATCTCCCAGAATTAAGGATAAATTAAAACTTTCACCCTAATCATTTCCATGTATTGATCCTTGGCACACACTAAGAGCCAAGTGCGAAGAGATAGCTATAATACAGCTAGACCCTACTCATAAATTAGAAAAGTCTTACCCTTCTTCTGCACTATTAAAGGACATAAATTAACAGATTTGAATATAAACTGAATGCTGCTAAATCATACTTAGGTCCAAAGTGATCTCAGTAGATTATTACTGTCTCATTTATGCTCTAAACAACAAACCCCTACACCATGAGTTCTGATGCTTTGTGTCAGACTTAATTTGATCAAAGCTTTGACTGCTAAGAGAAGCCAAGTGGAAGCACAAAGCCCAGTTTGCCAAGAACAAAATGCTTATATTTAGCCAAAAACAAGCGTCAAGTTTCAGTGCTTCAAAATGATGTGTCTGGCTATTCAACTTAACCTGCCTCTACTGCAGTTCTTAATATATTCTTCTCAGACCACTGCAGTCACTGACCTGTTACCAACATGCATTAAAGAGCCATCTGTTAACAGTCTTGTGTCTTCTACTAATTCCAGACTTTGGGGTTTGGGATTTTTTAACATTTTTTTCTCCCTGGGACGGCCTTGGAACATGCCCATCCTGCTAGCTCCACAGAAGAACAGTCACATGCCAACTCCTTCAGCGCAACTGACAGCAAAGCAGCAAAGATCAGCAAGCCAGTTAATTTCATACCAAGACAGCACCTCTCAAAGCAGCACCATATATACTTCAAAAGAGGGAGCATTTTAGCAGGAAGAAGCAAACTCCAGCATTCTTTCCTTTCAAGGAAACAAAGTTAAGTCCTGTGAAGCTTATTTTCCATATCACCTGCACTTGCAGAAGAAAGGCAGTGGCAGGACAGCCCTTATTAGTTGTGTGTTAGATTAGATCATGAAACAAACTCCTTTTTGTACATCAAGGCAGGAACTAATTTCAGTCTATCTCCCCACAGATCATGTGCAGGAACTCAGTCTGAGAACTCCTTCACAGACCACATGCCCTTACCGAAGTTATGTTAAGCATACACATTCCTGTTGCTCCATTTTTAGTGTGGAGTAACGATGTTGTAGCACATACTTTGTTTTCACTACTGTTATATCTTAAACCCAAAACTTAACTGCATGATGCAGAAGCTAATACTGGCCCTGCCTGAAGGAGCTGAATTCACCCCACCTGTTTAGGGTAGTCAACTGAAAGTCAGAGCTCAGCAGAACAATTTCACTTGACATCTACCAACCACATGACTAAGCAGCTGTTTCCTGCAGAACTTGCATTTCCTCGAAGTCTGCACTCCAGAAGGAAATTAACACATAGCTTTGCCCATTGGAGCACTGAAGCCAGTACAACACTGAATTCAACCAGCTCTTTATTACTATTATATGAAATACTGTTCCTAGTTAAAAATCAGAAGTCCAGAAGCCAGCTGCATCTTATTTTTCAGTACCCAGAATATCCTATTTATTATGTTCTTCACCTTCCATACAAAGTTTCTTCCTGTTCTTTGACAGATTTCAAAATCAGTAGTTCCATTCACAGCACCATTTTTAAGTTACATACCCAGAAAGAAGCACAACTCATCCAAGGCTAGGCTGCAAGTCTCAGGAGTTAAGACTTGCATTTTAACATTGAGTATTACAAGACAGTTCTTTATTTTAAACATTAAAGTGCCAGGTTTATGTACAAACTATTAAAACAATATTAAAAAAGGTAAACTTAAAACCTGCTAAGAAAGCAGTGAGGTCATGTAGTTGCCTCCAGAGTTTTCTGCAGAGTGGTCACTGCCCATAACCTCCCATCTTGCAGAAGAAAGTTGTCCATGTCTTTCACAAAATGGAGTAGCATATATTGTAAGAGATACATCTAAACTTTCTATGAATTAACACCATTGGCAAAGTCTAATAAAAAGAGATTTTACTGCTGGAGCTACACTAGCCTCCCGAAAAGCACCAATATCACCACACTTTTCAAGAGTGGGATTTTAGCACAGGAATCAAGTCACACTGTGACTCAACATATTTAATGTTTCCCTGTAAACAGGGGAGCATACACACTAACTCATATGGTCTCAGTCCATTTAAAATTCCGCATCCAGAGTGAAAGAGTTGTCTGTGGGCTTTGACATGACTCCCATCCTCTGATATTCTCCTACTCGCTTCTCAAAGAAATTGGTCTTGCCTTCCAGAGAGATGTTCTCCATGAAGTCAAAAGGATTCTCCGCTTTGTATATCTGAAATGCAAAGGCAATCCTATAGTCACTACAGGTGCTCACATCTTGAATATGTGAGAGCATTAGGGTTCAGCTGGAAGGAGTCCAATGACAACACCACTGGGCTTAGTATGTAGTGAACAAAGATATTTGCCCCAAGCCTTCTCTACTGGATTTGTCTTTTAGCTGCAGTAGACAGAAGCACAGCAACCCATACAGCTCTTTTTCCATAGCATCCTTTTTCTTTTCCTTCTGTGCATCTCCAAACAGGATCTAGCAGCAGGACTGCTAAATGGTTTTAAAAGTTATAGCAATATTGCTGCAGCCATTTTAAGGTTCAGGTTTCTGGAAGAAATTAAACTCAGTATTATCTTTTCCCCATGAAAGACTCAGTGCATTAGAGCCTTACCTTGTTAAATCCCAGTTCCAACATAAGCCGGTCTGCTACAAACTCTATGTACTGTTTCATTAAAGTGCAGTTCATGCCAATCAGCTTTACAGGCAGTGCCTCCGTCAAGAATTCCTGCAGAGAATAGAAGCACTTTATGTACAGAAACTAGTATTCACTCTCTACCATCTAAGTTAATTTTATACCCAACAGCTCCCTAGCTTTCTGCTTAATTGCGATCAAGTTCCTAAGCAAGGAGCAGACAATTACCTGTTCTATGAGAACAGCATTCATGATGATTTCCTTTACTCTCTCCTCTGATGGTTTGCGTATCAAGTGCTTGAACATGAGGCAGGCAAAATCACAGTGCAAGCCCTGGGAAGAAGTTTCAGAAAATTATTTCAGGAACACTAATTTAAAAGAGCCACTCAAATCAGTAGCACAGAATAAACAGCCCAATATCTAGGCACCATCTTTGCACTTGCCACATTTAGTGTTACCTACAGACAGCCTTCCACCTAACCAGGAGGAGGCATAAGCAAGTTCAGCCAGTAGCAGCTGCGCATGCTCTAAATGGCAAGCCATGCTGAGTGCAAGAGTTGGGGAGAACCCTTAAATTACTTTAGGGGGCGTAAAATACTAAGTTCATTCATTCTCTGCTGTCAGATCCACAGTGACACATGTTTACACACTTCAGTGAGCTTTATAGACTGCCTGTTTCTAAACATACTCCTGTTTTAAAATATAGGCTCCAACTGAATATCATTACTTTGAGCTACTGTGGCACATTACCATCGTAACTGCTAGAATTTGATTCATACCTCATCTCTACTGATGAGTTCGTTAGAAAAAGTGAGTCCAGGCATTAATCCTCTCTTCTTCAGCCAAAAAATTGATGCAAAAGAACCAGAAAAGAATATTCCTTCCACTGCTGCAAAAGCTACTACGCGTTCTCCTGTTAAGAGAAGATCGATAGTAGTATCACACAAAAAAGTTAACAGGATTAATAGCCAGAGTCATGACCAGCAAACTGCATCCTCCAAGGAGGACGAAGAAGTTTCAGTGCAAGTGAGCTACAGCCTGTCCTTAAAAATTATTACAGTAAAGGCTTCTGGTCATTAAGGAAAACTTTCAAACACAAGAGCAAGTAAAAACCAATTTGAGGAGCTACTAAGTAGCAGAAGCCAAGGCTCCTTCCCCCAGGCTAACCATCGATACCGTCCTTTTTCAAAGATTGCACACTGGAAAAGAGCCATCATTTCAGCAGCTGATTTAAGTCAGTGTCTGCTCATCTTTAAGGAACTTTAGCTGTGAAGAATGCTTTAATACTAGTGGAATTATGATCTGTACCACATCATCTCACCTTTGAAGTGAGACATCAAGAATCAGTAGGGCAGAGGAGCTACAGCCTCCAACTGTACATGTCTGCTGGAGATAGATGGCCAGTACAGTTCAACATGTGACAGCAATTTGATCATATAGCCAGGCATATGAAGACTGCCACATGAGCTACCATTATTCAAAATGCTACCAATTTTACAGATATTCGTGTCAGAAGATCATTTGCAAAATGAAACGTTTTTTTTTTCATCTCCAGAATTATACCAGTATCTCTTACCAGAGAACATGTGCTCTCTGTGACAACAGTAAACCCTGCGAACTATGAAGCCCAGAGAAACAGTGGTTCCTTCCTTTTTTTAGGGAAGGAATTTTACTTTGCTTCCAATAGATGTACTCACCATATGTTGCTTTCTTGTCCCCAATCCAGCGCATTGCCCAGTCAGCCTTCTTTTTAACACATGGCAATGTTTCAATAGCATTAAAAAGAAATTCCCTGAGAAGCATAAAACTCATTAGAATTGGACATCGGCACAATTAGTACAATAAATATTCATAGCCATAGAAAGTCTTGTTCACTTAGAAGTGCTCTGCACCTTCACCCTGATAATTAAGTCTCCTTCCATTTTATTTTGTACCAATCTAGCTGTATTTGTGCCTTTTTGTCACCTACTCATCACAACACCAGTTCACATGAGCTCCAATGACAATATCAAGGGGAGTATTGTTTCATCAAATATTGTACTTGAACAAAGATTACAGAGCTACAGACCATCCAGCCTCCACTTTCCAATTGCTTCTCATATAAGCAATTCTTCCCTAAACACTGAAATTAAGCATCTCAGTAGAAATGACGTGGTCAGCTTCCCGCTATGTAGTAACAGCAATCCAGTATCACTAGACTGCAAATAGCATTGCAATACCACATGACATTTCTCCCAACAAGATGTTGCTCTGACACCACCAGAATAACTCAGTCCTGACTGCTCAAAGCCCTGCACTTACTTTTAAGATGCCATTCTTGAACTGATTCATCCTACTATGAATGATTTACACTTCGTTTATATTTTTTATCAAGACCACAAGCCACTTTTTCACAAATGCAACATGCTTCCCCCCCACCCCAAGCAAGATTCAAGGTAAGTGCAGCACATGCTATGTAAAAGTGCAAGCTGTTAACTAGATGCACTGGGTTTTAGAGATGACATCTTAATAAAAGTTATGTTATTTTCAGATAAACTTTCCTACACCACTTTCTACTAGGTGCGGGGGTCCTCCATATGAGCGCTTGTAATTTAACACACTCCCTTATTTAACTGCTCTACCTTTAGTTTCATTCCTTTATTTCACTATTAAGCAGTTTCAGTTTCACTCAATCTAAGAGTTGTTACTCATACACTTCAGAAAAACATTCTGAAGTTGCTCTTAAGCAGCAGTGGTGTTTTATATAAATCTAGTTTAAATCCTAAAATTAGCCTTAAAGTCAGAGTGACTGATAGGCATCACTTAAATCACAACACTTAGGAGTTTCAAACCTTTCATCATCAAGCAATACAAACCTCTCTTTGGAATCTTTAATGTAGGTGTCAATAAGAAGACTGTACATTTCTGAATGTATGTTTTCCATGGCAATCTGGAAGCCATAGAAACAACGAGCTTCTGTGATTTGTACTTCTTTTTTTTCGCTCCACCTAGAGGAAATAAATGAGCGTTTGCAAAAGTATTTATAGATAACTTGCAGGTTAGAGGCATTGATGCTCTAACAGCTTGTGCTCAGCCCACAGAGTTCTCTTCAGATTAATTCCAGACTGCTCTAACAGCTTGTGCTCAGCCCACAGAATTCTCTTCAGATTAATTCCAGACATGTGGATTATTAACAGCAATATGAAGAGCAGTGGCCTCTCACAGCTCCAAGTCATAAATTTTTCTTTGGTCCCAAGAGAAATGGGAAAATATCTTAATTTTACTTACCCCCATTAAGAAAAAGAGCATGGAGAAGGTAGAAGCAGAACAAGGGCTCTGAACCAGCCAAGTGTTACCGTAAGGCAGTGCTCAGTGCCCCGTGGGGGAACGGGATAACTTGTAGATGATAAAAGCAATCCCAATTTTTTAATTAGCATAAGACAGCATTACATGCTGTAATACTACATGATCTAGCAAACACACTACATCAGCCAGCAACTGTCACCAAAACATGCAGTTATTTGTTTGCTTCACTTCACAAAGTGACGCTTCCCTCAGGGCTGGTTCTCCACCCTCACCAAGTTCTCGTTGACGATGCCGTCGCTGGCCGCGAAGAAGGCGAGGACGTGGGAAATGAAGTACTTCTCCTCAGGCTTCAGGGACTCCCAGTGCTGAATGTCTTTTGAAAGGTCCACCTAGAACACCGTGACAAGCAGCCATGAAGGAATTGCAAAGGTCCCGCACCGGAGCCCCGGGGCTGCTCTGCAGCTCGGCCAGGGAGCAGCCCGCCCCCCCCCTCTCACCTCCTCCGCCGTCCAGAAGGAGGCCTCGGCCTTCTTGTACATCTGCCAGATGTCGTGGTACTGGATGGGGAAGATGACGAAGCGCCGGGGGTTGTCCCGCAGCAGCGGCTCTTCCTCCTCCTGCTCCTCCTCCGCGCCCCGCGGCACCTGGAGCGGC